TCTTCAGAGTTACCTTTCATTTACACTGTAGTTAACTCCTCTTGAGTTAGCTTAGCTCAAGTGAGAACAGAGGGACTGCAGATTCACACTTGCTCTGCGCAAAGGGATTGTAGCAGCAGCTGGTGAATTATGTTAACTCGATAAAACAGCTAACTTGAGCTGAAAGCACCACTACAATCAGGAGAACAGGTCTTCTGTATAGATGAGATTCTGTTTAGTGACAGCACTCAGGCTATAACTGGAGCTAACTCTTCAGTGAAGACAGGGCCCCATTGTGCCATCAACAGAATTACATATTCAATTCCAGTAATTTATGTCCATGCAAATGCACTGGATTTGGATAGGTCACTGAGGGATAGGTTAGGCTGTAGAATATTTATTACCACTGATGATATCCCAGGCTGTAAATTGACATAGCCTTTCTCCCAGGAGAAAACCGTTTTTTCATGGGATCCTACAGCAACACACCATTGTCCCATTTTAACTACCTGTGAAATATGTGGGATAAAATGTGCTAACAGTTTCCTTGTCACCCCCGCCACCACCTCCACCCCCTCCACCCCCCCAAAAAAAGATATTATGCTGTGACTCCATAAGGTTATTGTGACTCACCAGGCCTGTAGGCTGTGTGCTCTTGCCCACCACCTATTGCAGGGTCGAGCAATTATTTTGGGCAGAGGGCCGCTTACTGAGTTTTGGCAAGCCATCGAGGGCCGCATGACAGGCAGCCCAGGGCAGATAAATATTAATTTTCTAAATTTTTAGGGGCCCCACAGGCTGGATTGAATGGCCTGGTGGGCGGCATCCAGCCCCCAGGCCGCATTTTGCCCACCCCTGACCTATTGGGAGAGGAGCAGCAGTGCATTTTGGAAGGGCTATATGTGTAAATGACTGTGCCTCTCCTGTTTTGATGTGGGTCAAAAATTGTGACAGTCAGGACCAACTCAAATGCTTACTGCCCCAGAAAGAAAAAGCACAGCTTGATCTTTTGAACCCAGGTGGATTTTGTAAAGCAGGAGCCTTGGGGGAAAAATTCTTACAAAATAAGGAAATGTAACATGCAGTCAGAACCGGAGAGTACCATTCAGAGTATAGCATTAGTATCGTAGGTCTGGAAGGGCCCTTGGGAAGTTGTTCAGTTCAACCCCCTGCTCAAGGCAGAATTATCTCAGTCTTCAAACTTCTCAGATAAATGTTTGTCAAACTTGTGCTTAAAAACTTCTAGTGATATAGATTCCAGCTCCTTCTAGGGAACTTGTTCCAGTGCTTAAACCATACTCAGAGTTAGATGGTTCTTGCTAATATATCATTTAAATCACCCTTGTTGCAAATAAAGCCCATTATTTCTTACCCTGTCCCCACTGTCAGGACAAGAATTATATATTTAAAGCACTGTTGCCTAGTTTATAGCACATTAGATTTTTTTTAATTGAAAAAAACGTCAGCATGATGATCACCACCATTTGTTTACTGTTTGCACTGGACTTATTTGGGGCAAAATACACCAGTCATGTCATTTTACAATCTATCTGCTGCTCTTGGGCAGTAAAGCAGAGCAATTGTGAGAAGCTGCCAATGTTCCCAGGGAGGTTTGAATAGAAATAAAAAATATTCCATGTTTTCACTGAAGTCTAACAACAAGCAAAAACACCTCCGTTTAAATAGCTAACGTTTTTGTTTCCCCTCAGCTAGAGTTTTGGAGCAACTTTAACAAGGCAGACCAAGTAAATCCCAAAACAGTGCTTCCACTGCTCTCTAGGACCATCCCACTGCAGACAGGCTTGCAACATGAATATTCACAAGAGTGGTCTCGCTGGCTTCAAAGGGACTGCAATCTGTGCTGAATGTGGCCGTTTTATCTCAAATCACGTAAGCATTTCTGTCCTCCTGATTTTTCTTTCTTAAACGTGCCTCCCTGGATATCAATGGAGAGACATAGAGTTAAATGTAAATCTAATACCTTAAGTAAATAAAATTCCCCCCACTTCAATAAACTGTCAGTTCTTTTCCCCGCATTTTTTGGACTACCCTTCATTTCCGTACCAGAAAGTTGTTACATTTGTTACCAATCCAGAGACTGAGTCATTCTTGTTCAAACCAGACAGTAGGCTCTCTGTGCAATTTCGCTCTCCCCTTCAGAACTGTTGGACTGAGACGAAAATTGTAATGCCAGGTTGCCTCCCACAGCTCCACGTCTAAAAATATCGCTGTAAAAATACACAGAGGTGCTAAATGCTGCCAAGTGGCAAACGAACCTTCTCTGAACTGTGACTGGCTTCAGATGCCGTATATTCAGGCAGATTCTCAAATCTAAAGAGAGTTCTCCTTTTCGTCCGTTAGGAAGATTATATTTCTTCCTCTTCCCAAAATGACCCCTCCTGACAGCATTATGTCATGCAGCGGTAGTCAGATGCCATGGTTCATGTGGAGTAATTTCACATTTCGAGGTTAGAAATACAAAGGAGGGTTGTTTTTTTCGGGGGGTAGGGGGTTGTTTTTAATGTTAACACTCT